CCTCTGCCCTCCGTTGTTTCTGGAGGGGTGACTGCCTCCAACTGCCCAGTAGCAGCGTCCTTCACGAGCCTCCTCCACAGAGGCTGATCTTGATGATACCGCTGGTACCGTTCATCGGCAAGTCCAATCATCTCCACATTCTTCCATACCCATCTCTTCTCTATCCCGTGCCGTGCCCGTCTAGCCCCCTCTATCCGGCCAAACAGAAGCTGCTTGGGCATGCCGTGGCAGGGCATGCGGGGCTACGTGACCCAGGCAACGCAGCTTCGCCTGCCGAAAGGGCTCACTGATGGGACTGTGTCCAAGGATCAGTGAGCTCACAGATTCCAGTCTGACCAGACCCAGGATGGCGTGTGCTTTCGATTTACCAGGTACCGTTTATCAACGGTACTTTATACCCACACACTTCATAATATATACCCTCCATACAAATGTAGTGCGCTAAAATTTGATTTGAAGCTTTCGTGACTGCAGGAATTACTCTTTGGTTATTTTGGTAAAGTTACGTAGAAAGAAAATAAATCAAATAATAGAGTACGACGTTTCTCTGCTTGTGTGTCTGTCTGTGTGGTGTCTCCGTGTCTGTGTTTTGTCTCTCTCTCAAATGTAGTTCTACCTGATGACGGTTGCTTGTGTTGCAATCGAAACGTCGTACTCTATTATTATTTTGTTTCTACGTTACTTTACCGAAAGAACCAAAGAGTGTAGTGTGCGAATTCACAGACACGAGTAGGAGGCACTCTCTCTCTCTCTCTCTTGTATTCCGGCCTTCACAGCCTTAGGGGGATAACCACACACCGGGTCGGGACAGCCAACACGCTGCCAGACCCGCAGCTTGAAGAGGGCGAAGATCACAATGACGACGGCAGCACGACGAGTTCCACTCCAGGTCGCAGCAGCCCCGACTGTGAGTCGGAGCTCGTCCTTTTATCCTGCCCAGCGTGACCAGGCTCCGCCCTCGGCCACGCCCCCTTCTGGGTCCCCCAGGTGGCTCCGTGCCTCGCCCACATCCTATTGTCTACCAATCTCCCAGCGGCACGCGCTACAGTGACTCATTCAACGTCACTACACCAACAACACTATTCATGTAGCACACATTATGCATACGCGATTGTAATAAAACACCTACATACACTGTTAACAGTGTACACATTACACAAACACACTTGAAAATATCATGTATCGACAGCAGCAGCCATTTGCCACTTAGTTGCGGTGACACTCGTTGTACCAGGCTAGGTGCATGTTGAAGTGTGCTGCTGGCAGGAGGCCACGGAACACTGCGGGCCTGTAGCAAATATAATATAAAGGGGCCCTAAAAATAAATGTTAAAACACACATTTAATTTGGATAGTAAAGTAATTGTATTTTTTTCATTTGCACAGCCAGATGCGACAAATCGCTAACCTTAAACACCCAGTCGTTCATAAAAGTTGAAGGCAGTATAGTACTATAGTAATAGAGCAAGTGCAGAATCACTGAAGCGGAATTGCTAGCTTGAAAGCATTTAGCGCGGGGCCCGTAGCAAATGCTGCTTGTGCTACTGGGATAACCCGGCACTGGACAGACCCAGGTGCTATGGGGATGACTGAGATGACTGGCAGATGCCAAAAATAATGCATACACGCATGCACTCAGTACATACAAAGATCTCCCGAGTAGCCTTCAACAGAATGTCGGGGCAAGCACTTTTAGCGAGCACCTATGAAGGGCGACACGGCAAACGTAGAGGTGGGTGGCCAGCACCATGCCCGACCGCCTTTGTATCTCCAGTGCTGGTGTTTACACACCGCACCAGGTACTCGCTTAAGGCTAAGTCAACATACGGGAGACCCAGAGCCGGCTCAGGTATTCGTCACCGATGTTGGCTGAGTGGGAATCAAACTCAGGCCACCGGGTTCGCAGCGCAGTGTGCTAGCCACCACACTTCCACCCCGCACCCAGTAAAACAGCTCGGTACACAGCACCATATACACAAATTGAGTAAAAATTGATGCGCTCATCTCAATGCTCACAAGGCTCATTGATGATGGTGATGGCATGCAACCAACACAGCTGTATACGGCGTATGAGAAATGCAAACCGGACAGATTTCATAAGAGAACAGCGCCCTCTAGCGATATTTTTTGTTAAAATAAAACAAAACTAGTTTTTAAAAGCCTGTCTTCGCCTGGCAAACGTTTTCAATGATTAACCTGATGTGATTTTGTACAATTTATATCTACGATCAGACACTAACTACTAACAATTTTTTCTCTTTTTTTAATTAAAAATAACAAAAAAGAGTTAACTTAATACTCTACGTGGGGCAGCTCCTATCTTGTGCGGTTTTCGAATTTTTCAGATTTGAACACCATCAAATGTTTTCGTTCAAACCCGCTTGAATCCGAAGAAATGTCAAAAACAGAAAAAGTATATAGAACAATGGCTTTCGCATACTCTTTGGTTCTTTCGGTAAAGTCATGTGGGTAGAAAAAATAATAATAGATCACGACCTTTTCGATCGCAACAACAAGCGGTCGCCACAGCAGGAGAACTGCAGAAAAACTGCAGCAGTTTTGTTTCCAGCTGTGGTTGCCCCACCTGATGACGATTGCTTGTGTTGCGATCGAAACGTGGTGATCTATTATTATTTTTCTACCCACGTGACTTTGCCGAAAGAAACCAAAGCGTATGGATTCCTGCAGTCACGAAAGCTTCAAATCAATGTTTTTTTTGCTTTAATTTTATTTGCTCTTTAGCGCTCTATCAAACGTAAAAAACCCGCAATCGTATATTTTGAACGGTTTCTGAATGACACCACGCACAAACGTGTTTATGGGGCACTAAATCGAGATTTGGGGGCCTTAAAATGAAAAATCTCGGATTTTCAGATAGTTCCTATTGTCTGTGTCCTAAAAGCTATGTACAACATTTCAGCTGTCTATCTTGTCGGCAAAGTAACCGAGAGGTTATTGAGACTAACAGATTAAGGTATTCATTTACATAGATACAAAATGAAAAATCTCGGGATTGCTGTGGTTTCACACCTGATGATTATTGCTTGTGTTGCAATCGAAACGTCGTGAGAATTTTATTGTTCTACGTGACTTTACCGAAAAAACCAAGAATTTTAATCCCTGCAGTCACGAAAGCTTTAACTCGAAATTTGATGTAGATAAATTACTCACCTTTCCATCCGTATATTAGAGTTGGGGGTGCGTCTTATAATCCTTCAGCGGTTTGTACACACGCGTGTACGCACTTGTGTACGCACTTGTGTATGAGAGGTTGTCCGTGCGGTAGTGTAGCGGTTAGCACGCTGCGCTATGAACCCGGCGACACGGGTTCGATTCCCGCTCACGGCCAACACCAGTGACGATTATCTGAACCGGGCCTCCCCTAGGTCGACTCAGCCTCAAATAAGTACCTTGGGCGGTGTGTAAACATCGCCACTAGGGAGACAAAGGCGGTCGGGCGTGGTGCTTGCTAACAGCCCTTGCTCTAGTCCTGTTAAGGCTATATGGGGGAATCTTTGTTTATCTTTGTTGTCTACTGCTGTGTCTACTACTACTGCTACAGCAGCGTGTCCAAGCAGCTTCTGTTTGGCCGGTTAGAGGGAAGAGGCTAAACGGGCACCACAACGGGCTGGAGAAGAGATGGAGCTAATGCGGTACGGGATGATGTGGAGCTGAGTGGACTTGCCGGAGACCAGATCACGCCTTTGTCTTTGAGCTGTACGCCTTTTGGCGTCATCTGGTCGAGCACCAATTGGGTCGAGGCTAAAAAAGAAAGCCGTCCCTTGGTGTGGACCAATCAGTTTCAAGGACAATGCATATATTATCATAGCGTGTTTTTTGTTTGCATTTTGACTGCAGGTATTGTGGTTAATGCAGACATGTAAAAGGTTTCAGTTTTGTTGCCAGAAAAAAAGGGGAAAACCCTATTATTGCCGGAGACTGTCAAGATCGGCCTCTGAGGAGGAGGCTCGTGAAGGACGCTGCTACTGGGCATTTGGAGGCAGTCGCCCCTCCAGAAACAGCGGAGGGCAGAGGAGCGACGCTCACAACGTGTGGCGCGCCGGGCGGATACAATAAGCAAGTTGGCACGGTAGGGAGCAGCACAGCTGGTGCATCTGCCAGTAATCTCGAGTCATCCCACGGTTACCTGGATCAATCCCGCGACCTCCTGTCAGCGAACCTTTGAAACGCCACGTGGTCTCAAGAGTGCACTTGCCCTGGCACAGGCGCCGTGAACAGCGGCGGCTGTAGTTGTGGGTGTGTGCAGGTCCGTGTAACGTTCTTGACACCGAGAAACAAGCTTACGGTGCAGCTTTCTTTTCGAAGGGCTTTACAATCTAGAGGCGGTGTCCGATGTTAGCATGAAAACAAGCAGTGTGCCCATCAGGAGTTTTACAGATAGATTTCCTTTCCGGGCAAGCCAGAGGCTTGGCATTGCCACAACCCTGGGTTCAAACCCAAGTCTCGGTCGCACAAAACCGTGACTGGAAGGGGTCTTTCTCAGGTGCAGCGAGTCGATGGACTTCAGCGTGGTCACGATTGATTTGCACAGACTAGCACAGGGGGAACAGATTCACGTAGAAAACCCGACTCGTGTAAAGTGCCACCAACAGTTGCTCTGGCCAGGATGGCTTCTTGAAGACGCTTCCCTCGCCGTCTGCACCCAAGTCGCATTGTATGCACCCGGCCTTGTCAGATGAGACGCTAAGCTGGTTTAAGCCTGGGATAGATTGCCTACAAATGCCACAGGCATTGTAGACTTGAGCTGGAAAAATTGTGCGGCGGTGGTGGTGGCACAGCATTACAAACTGAACATTAGTACAAAGACAAATGTTCCCCGTATAGCCTCTAACAGGCTGTTGGGGCAAGTGCTGACAGTAGCAGAACCTATTATGGCTGGCACAGCACACAGAGTGGTATTAAGCTTTGGGGGGGAAACTGAAAACGCATAAGTGTGTGTGAACACAACAGAATTGTATACAAGCCATACCATCCAAAAGGTTAACATTTCAAGAGGGCATTAGGTTTTTATTTGTTGCAGTACAGAACCACACGTTAGACCCAACGATTCGCTCTAGTGCTGCCAATGTGTTTATTATCAGGACACACACCGCTATTGCATGGGTGTTGGCCACGTAAGTCAACAACAATATGGTGGTTGTTGTTGTTGTGAGTGTGTGCAGAAGTCAACAACACGGTGGTTCCTCCGCAGGCTCTGCACGACACCCAGGATGCAGCGATACCAACTTCTCCAGGAGGTGGGGGGGTGTTATCTGCAAGCACACGCACGGAACAGAGCCGTATCAAGGCACCAACTCCACAGCTGGGACGATCACTTCAATTACGATAAATGAAACTTTTGACCGACTTTTTTTTTTCGTCATTGAGATTGACTATTTGTGCCATTGTTTGACCATACTTCACCGGTGCGGATCAGTGCATGTTAACGAGGGCAGGAAGCGTAGACGCGGGAACATAGAGGTACCCGTGCAACGGAATTTTGCCGCACTGCCCCAATGTGGTCCAAACGTTCCACGAGCCGACGATGACGCAGGGGTCGTGCACGTTTAAAGTTTATTTTCATTTATATTTATTTACTTCCTTAGCTTTCCTATACTTTGCACGCCTATTGTTCTTCGTATTCTTTTGCTGTTGTTGTAATTGTCCAACGCGCCCCCCACTGGACAATTGTGGAAAAACAAGAGCTTCACATTTTATTTCTTGGTTCTTTCGGTGAAGTTACGCAGAAGGGAAATAATAAATAAATAATAACTAAAACACATTTACATTTTCTTGCTGTGGTTTTTCACACCTGAAAGCCATACCATCCAAAAGGTTATTTTATTGTTTTATTTTTTATTATTTCCCTTCTACGCGACTTTACCGAAAGAACCAAGAATATGAATCCCTGCAGTGACGAAAGCTTTAAATCGAAAGAGCTTCACAGCTCTTTGGATTCTTCCAGCCCAAATAAAGATTCGGATTTTGACCACACCCCGCGTGGGCCCACGACAGGCTGATGCATATTGGTAGCCCACACACGGCGCTATACAAGCTTAGCTTCTGGGATCTGATGCAACTGGGGGGGGGTGATTTTAGCCATAAAGGCCATCCAATTATTCTGATGATGAATTACACTATGATTCATCAAAGACAGTCTCACGTTAGGGCTGGTCAGTTGGAATGTTGGTGATTGTGTACGTGTGCACGTTTAACTTCTTTCGCGCCGTACGTAGCCAACCGTGCTAATCGGAGGTGCGGAGGAAGGACAACAAACTAGAGACAAAAAACAGTGATTGTGAAGTGTCTGCTATTGTTTGGGTGCAGGAATAACTTATTAAAATTACAAACTAAATAACTACAAACTAGGCAACTTCATTCCAAACTACATAACTACGCATATATCCAAAGCACACAGTTCATTACTTGAAATTCACTACGAGACAGACTGCCAAGGAATGTACGACTATTACGATATTTGAAATTATGAAAAAAAGAATAGGGTTTACCATTTCCGGCAAACTATACCAGTGTTAAGATATTAAAAACCAAATCTACAGCAATTAGAAGGAATCAAGCATGCATTATCCACACACGCTTGTGGTAATGCATGCAAATAAATGTTTTGACTATTACAATTTTAACACCTGTATTATAGCCTATTCTTTTTTTTCATAATTTTGAAACCGGCAAAAAAAGTCCCGTAAAAATATAGAAAATGTTGTCCAAAACAAAAACAAAGATCCCCCGTATAGCCTGAACAGTCTAGTGAGCGAGTGCTGTTAGCGAGCACATATGAAGGCCGGCACGGCACACGAGGGGGTGGGGGGTGGCCACCACCACCACGCCAGGCCGCCTTTGTCTCCCCGAGTAGCGATGTTTAGACACTGCCCCAGGTAGTCATTTGAGGCCGAGTCGACCTACGGGAGGCCTGTGACCGATTGAGATCATCGTCACTGGTGTTGGCCGTGAGCGGGAATCGAACTCGGGTCGCCGGGTTCGGAGCCCAGCGCACTAACCACTGCGCTACCCCAAACACACACGAGCGTGCGCACACACCGGCAGTGTGAATGGATAATCTTGCACTAAAATTATCTTTTAAACTTGTAGTTTGGAGGGGCGGGGGGGGGGTGATGACATAGACCTCGGTCGTCTGTTTTTATTTGTTGCTCATTAAAGTAATCGGGGAGTCCTTGCCGACACGTTTGCGTTCACGCGGGCAATCGGAGTCCCTGACGCTCGGACAAGTGGGCGGCAGCCAATGAACGAGAGCAGGAAATTAGAATTTAAAACAAGCGCGGTTAAGTTGATACGCAAACACGGACGAATCCGCTCACGTACATATTGAGATGTGTTAGCTGACATACATTTTATAATAAAAGTGTTTGGGTTAGATTGTGTACGTATAAATGTGTCGTAACCCTCCACTATGCGACACAGCCAGGAAGGTTGTCACGTCAACAAAACGTGCCAATTAGTTTCGGCTTCAGCACACTGGTGTGTTGGAGAGTAAATCCACAACATTTTCAATTTGAGTACGACGTTTCGCTGGTAATTACATCCAGCATCATCGGGCGATTTGCCCGAACACGACACATTTATTACTTACGCGATCGAAAACCAATTTTCCACACGGTCTTAACCCTTTCCCATTCCGATGACGTGCATGATATTATTTTTTTATTTTCTTCGGGTTCCGTTTCAATCGAAACATTTTTTTTTTACTTTATCGGTGTGGAGACTCCCACTAGACCATGCCAGAGGGCGTGTGGCACAGTATTGGCGCCAGCCACCGTAGAGAGTGCGGCGGTCGCGTCGCTACGGTTCTCTGTGGTGAGTACAATGCCTTGGAAAACCACGGCGCTACTACGACTCTCTCAGTAAAATTAACCCCGAGCCGCTTGCACGTTTCCGAGGTTCAGTGGTGGACGTGACACCCACCCCGCAACTTGCAGACATCATCCGTATCAGGGGCGGAGCCAGGATTTTGACTGAGATATCCAGTGTTTATGTTTTCCAATGGGCACCACAAATGTATAAAACAAATTTTATTGGATTTGAACTCGGAGTTTATTAATAGGTCGGAGCCGCTGATGTGGCTAATAAGTTCGATAGGTTCGAAAGGCTGCCGCTCAAGCAGCCTGCAGGGCAGCACAAGGTGGCAGCCTGCAGGGCAGCACGAGGTGGCAGCCTGCAGGGCAGCACAAGGTGGCAGCCTGCAGGGCAGCACAAGGTGGCAGCCTGCAGGGCAGCACAAGGTGGCAGCCTGCAGGGCAGCACACGAGGTGGCAGCCTGCAGGGCAGCACAAGGTGGCAGCCTGCAGCATTTTGCAGCAGCCGGATATCCGGTTATCCCGATTACCGACTATTCCAAAATTTCAGGGGGGGCTTAGCCCCCCCCCAGCCCCCCCTGTGGCTCCGCCCCTGATCCGAACGGTAAAGGGTTAAACGACCGTATCTCAAGAGTGGTGTTTCACGCGACGCTTTTCTGCAGCACGGCGCCTATCGCTTTGAGGGTTTGGTAAAAACTGACAGTGCGACATCAAACGTAAAGGCACCTTTATCGATGGCCTCTCAACGTCTATGTGCTGATTAGATTGGGAGAAGAAATATAAGGCACGTGTTACGCATGCAAGAGGCGATAAGAAGAGACGTGCATTGATTCAGATATGAGAAAACACGAGACATACAACGTAATGTAACAGTTCTTGAGTTTTGTGTGCGGCGTCGCCGTTTGTTCAAATTCCATTTCTCGAAATCGCCGAGGAACCACAACGCTGGAAGGCTGCGGCGGCGGCGGCGGCAACCAGGTGGCGGAGTCGGCGCTACAGACAATTGGCCAACATCTGCTGCCCTCTAAGTCAACATGTTTTCAGCCAATTACTGAGTGTTTACATGTGTGGGAGAAAACACGGAGCACCCGGGGGGAAAACCCATGCCATGCCGTCAAAAGCGTGTTAAATCGAGTTAACAAACAAGCATTTGAGACACGTGCGTAGACGTGTTTGGATAGTCACGAGGATTCCAATGAAATATTATTGTCCATCAGATGGCCATTACAAGCGAGGCATTAAAAATGAGAGAGTACAAACAAGACGAATAATACCGATAACTAGACACACACGGGGCACACGAAGGACGGGCGGTACAATTCGAGACAGAATTCACGAAACACGCAAACAAGGCAGGCAGAACACGCAAGACAGACAGTGCAAGCGAGACAGATAATTACACGAGTCGGTACACGAAAGGTAGACTTGACAGGGGTTTGTAAAGTACGAATCGGAGACGCGCAACGCAAGCGTACACACAGGGAAGACAGTACTAAGGAAACAAATTATGTAAATGACACGTAAGAAACACAAAAGTACAGGTGAGAAACACAATGAGAAAATGGGACCCATTACAAATGAGAAAGCTCAAAAGAGACGGGCAAATATAAATGACAATATCATTGAGAACAGTCTAACAATGAGAGGGACAATGCCCAATGCACACAGCATATATGGGCCAGGCAGTACTAACAATACAAAGACAATGATCTCCCCTATAGCCTTAATAGACTGTTGGGGCAAGTTCTGTTGGGCGAGCACCTGTGAAGGCCGGCACAGCCTGGCCACCTTTGTCTCCCTAGTGGCGATGTTTACACACCGCACCAGGCACTCATTTGAGGCCAAATAAACCTAGGGGAGGCCCAGGACCAGTTCAGATATTCGTCACTGGTGTCAACCGTGAGCGGGAATCAAACCTGGGTCGCAGTGCGCCATCCGCTACTCCCCACGCAAACAAACAAAACAACGGAGGCTACGAGACAAGCGAGGCACAGCCAATGCCGCCGAGTGTGTGGCTTACAGGGCGGCAGCGCCAGAGATGATCTCGATGAGCTCCTTGGTGATGACGGCCTGGCGAGTGCGGTTGAACGTCAGAGTCAGCTTGTCGATCATCTCCGCTGTGGACGGGTGACAGGAAACGACCGCGGTTAGCCCACAGACGCGCTTGCACCACAACCGTGGTTATACCACAATCGCGGTTAACCCACAGACGCGCTTGCACCACAACTGCCGGTTATATCACAACCACGGTTAAAGAGCCACGGTTAAATCACAACCGCCGGTTACTCTACAACCGCGCTTAATCCACAACTGCGGTTACACCACAACTGTCGGTTATACCACAACCGCAGTTAAACCACAACAGCGGTTGCACCACAACTGTCGGTTACACCACAACCGCAGTTACACCACAATGCGGGGGAGGGGAGGGGGGGATACACAGAGACATGTGGTTGGAACACGAAGACGTGGGGGGGGGTGGTCAAGGAGACGCAGGAGCGGGACACGGAAACGCCAAGGGGATACTCACAGGCGTTGTTGCTGGCGCTGTCCATGGCGGACATGCGGGAGCTCTGCTCGCTGCAGGCCGACTCCTTCATGGTGTAGTAGACGAGGTTGACGAGCGCAAACTCCTGGTAGTTGCGCAGCACGTCCGCGTCGATGTCATCGTAGATGGTCATGCTCTCTGGCGGCGCGACGGCGTCATTTTGGCGGTCGGCGGGCGAAGGAACGGCGGAGGGACGTTTTAAAACGGGGAAGAAAGATAACGCAAACGCATGGATCACGGGAGGCCTTTTCAACGCGCGCTTGCCCTCGGCAGTGTTTAAAATATAATGGCACAATGCCCGATTCCACAAATACGAAGGAGACATCACGGCGGTGATACACTCCACTACTCCGGATGCGGTTATTTGGGCTCGACCACCTGAATGTGAAATTGTAGTTGTTGCTCTGTATCTACATCGGCATTCGTATGAAATAACAGAATTAGCGATAACGATGTAATGTTTCAAGATGCGCAAGGCGGTGGCATCACGTGACGCTTCACGTGTGGCATCGCGAAGTGTGATAATGGCATCAAGGAGATTTCTTTTTAGGGTTGTTTTTTGCGACAAGTTTTGGACACTAACCCCTTTAAATCAATTTCAGATTTTTCTTTCCTAGGGGCGAGTCCCCAATAGCTGCACAAAGTTTACCCTAAAGTTTTGTTCAAATTGCATCATCTTTACGAGAGTCCTGCTGGACAAACGTATAAATATAAATACAGATGAGCCAGCTGCTTAGTACACAGCTGATAATTCACGATGTAACACGATTTTTGTTCCTGAGTAGTAAGTGTTATTTTCTAATTGCTTATGCCTCAAAAAGTATGGAAAAATGGCTATCATTCCCCAACAAACTTTTATTTTGTGACCAGGACTTTATGTGAAGGAATGACACATAATCACACGTTTTCTCATTGAAAATAGGTACATTTTAAAATATCACTGTCCTGGTTACAAAACCTAAATTTGTGGGGAATAATATCCATTTTCTGTACTTTTGAGGCATAATCAATTAGGAAATAGCACTTACTACCAAGGAACAAAAATTAACTACATTTGTTACACAGTGATATTAATGGAGTGGATTATTAACTTTGCTTTTGTGTCCTGGTCACAAAAGCAAAGTTTGTGGGCAATAATAATAGCCATTTTCTGTACTTTTGAGGTATCAGCAATTAGAAAAGAACAATTACTACCCAGGAACAAAAATAATATATGTTTTGTTACACTGTGTATAATGATACCCTGTATTTATCCAGGAAAGTCACACCAAGACAACTGCACTGACATGTGTCCCAATTAGAGGTCGTGCGACGAGTTGATTAAGTCCATTCGTCAACGAGAAATTGATATCCTACGATCTTTGTCTTCAATCACCAGGCCACCTTTGAAAACGGTGGCCGCACCCACAACCTGCCTCTCGAAGGAGGGAAACCCCCCGACAAGCCATGGCCAGTGTGACACGACCGACTATGCCGACGGCTGTCAATGAAGCCCGGCCCTTCACCTCCCGTCCAGCGGCACATAGGTTGAGAAAAGGTCGAGTAATTGAACCGATCATCGGTAGAGGAATCGACTCCTCTAATCGTTGGGAGAGCACGGCTCTGTCACAAATGCGCACCAATACCACCACCACCACCACCACAACTAGCATCGAGCTCCTATTAACCTCCTGACCTCTTACCGGAGTTGGAAATGGTCTCCAGAGAATAGATGGGCTTATTCTCCGTCTTGTACGACACCACCGACCTAAAAAGAAGTACGCAAACACAGCGCAATATTACACACAGCGTACAGGCGGATGTAAGCTTTATAGCTGCCACACGGCAGAAAGACCCCAGTGTTACCCTCGAAGCGAAGAAGTCTCACACTCGGGGGAGGGGGAGGGGGATGTGGAGAAGACCGGAATTCGTGCAGCGCAAATTGCGGTGCCTGTGCTTGACGTTATCGCCCCTTCGCGTTGTTGTCCGGCGCTCACCGGAAGCGGTTGAAGAACAAGGTCCCCTGGTCGAACTCGAAGCCGCAGTTGAGCAGCTCCTTGGCGATGAAGCTGGCGTCGGCGAAAGAGGGCGGCTTCTTTCCCACCTCGCGGAACGTCATGTACAGGTGCTTGCCGTGGGTCCTGCACGTACACGCGAGCGTACAGGTGTTGATACGCGTCCAAAGAAATACCGAGGATGTTTATACAAACTAGAGGCCGACCGAAACTGAATTTATGGTTTCGGCCGAAACCAAAAGTAAACCAAAAGTTAAAAACTAACTTTCGGCCGAAACCGAAAGGAAACCGCAAGTAAACTTTTTGGCTTCGGCCGAAACAGAAACCATGCCCAAAGAGGCCATTTGCCAACTTTCGGCGCCGAAACCGAAACCGAATTTCGGTCGGCCTCTAGACGCGTCACAGACTCGCACGCGCACACACCCCAGCCCCCTCCTGCTGTGTGGAACCCATGTGGAAGAGGAGGTGGGGTAGGATGGAGTGGTGGGAAGGTTGAATAGGATCATTGGAGGGGTGGGTGGGTTGATGTGTGTGTGGCTGGTGGGCGGATGAGTGAGTGTGGGCGCGTATGCACACTGTTGGCATCAGCACGCTGCTGTAATCTGCTCAGTGTGCTGTGCGTGCGCGCGTCTGTGTAGGGCAAATAAAACACCTCTGCAGGATGCCGCGCACTTTGTCGCCAATTGACACCACCATGACTTCTTTGCCCTTGGAGGTGAGGTCACCGATCTGGAGCTTGATGGCCTTGGAGATGTTGGAGTGGATGGCCCCACAGAGGCCGCGGTCCGAAGACATGGCCACGATCACGTGCTTGGGCTTCTCCTCTGGCGCTTTGATCACCGCCTTCTCGTACAGGGCTGCATAAGTCGCGCAACGGCGTCAAACAAATTCAGCGGGTGCAGCAACGCGCGGAAGCGAGTCCCTTCCATCACCCGGTACGCGCATGATAGTAACCACATATCCTTAGCTCTTTCGGTAAAGTCACGTTGAAGGGAAGCAATAAAATAATTAAATATATATATAAAACTATAAAAATTCTCACGACGTTTCGACCATAACACAAACGGTCGTCATCAGGTTTGTTGGTCGAAACGTCGTGATAATTTTTATTGTTTAATATATATTTTATTGTTTCCCTTCAACGTGACTTTACCGAAAGAGCTAAGAATATGAATTACTGCAGTCACGAAAGCTTCAAATCAAAACGATAGTAACCACTTCGCGCCTGTGTTGACGTCCTTTATGACGGTTGCCCCAAACAACGAACTAAGTCCGGTAATGGGGGAATCAGTTCGGTCAATATTCGCTTCTTCCCCTTAATGTGTACAGAATTTATTACACCGCGTGTTTTTTTTTTTAAATAGATGAAAATAGGACAAATAAAAGTGGAAAATGAGTTGTACAATACATTTACAGTACTTTGGTCTTTAAAAACATTTTACAGTACAGTATCGTAGACATAACAACACGACAAAGGTGAACAGTGATTGCTTGACGCTTGGACAGCTTCAACAGAACGGGTTGGTACGGTGTTGCAATACTGTACTGTATTATTAATGCAGAGGAATTATTACACTATTATTACTGTTTGATTATTCATTATGAAAAGCATTACAATATTTTATAATTATCATTACTGGATTATCAATAGTTTGGGTGCTGTAGGGTGTGGATTTAGCGCTCAAAATACGTCATTTGTCCATTAACGGACAATCGGCTTCTACGGACACCACTTCTCTCCTATTAATCCGTTAAACCGAGGGCTCACTGTACATGCGTGTTTGTGTGTGGGTGTATGGGTGTGTGATTCTGCTACCCACTCACCAAGGGCACCCTGGCCGTACGAACGTGCCGGCTTAAGTTCCCGCTCTGCACGGGCATACTTTGCGGCAGACACCATCTTCATGGACTTGGTGATCTTCTGTATGTTCTTGATGGACTTCAGGCGAAGAGAGACTGGGTAACAAGGGGGGTGCATGAGTAACAACGCAAATGCCATCAGTCATCTCCTTATCTCTCTTCTTTCACTACTAGAATGGTAACTGTTCATGAACTTCACACATTTTTTCCAAAAGCACAACCCACATGTGGATCAATATAATTGAAATTGATGTTCATCTCGATATTGACTCCATCTTAATGTGCTACTTGGTTTCAAAGCCATTTATTTTTTTCAAGTATATTCTACATGTATGCAAAATCTTTGAACTATAAATTGCCACAAATGCAGAAATCATTTACGTTCGGTTAACGTAAGTTTACTTTGCTTAACCACGTGTGACCAAGGGACCAGAATTTAACGCGTGGGCTTTCACGAACATTATGATTATTTTGGATTAGATCGCATGAATGCAATCGTGTCGGAAAGCCAACACAGCCAATTAATAGGTGATGCCACGTGAACAAAACGTGTCAATGAGTTACCACTTTGGCACGCCGCTGTGTGTGGCTTTTCTCTCTACTCCAACACCGGCGTGCGGTGACTTTCATCCAACAGCGGATAGAGCATGGCTGATGATAATAACACAGCGCGGGAAGATCTTTATCCAGCAGTTGCCGAACCACGGCCAATGGTAACAGTGACAAATGGCACGGGGCATTCCTCATCCAACGGTGGCTGGAACAGGACTGCTGCCGAGGACAATGACGGTGACAAAGTCAATGTATGACGTGCAAAACTGTACTTACTGTCCTTCAGGGTAGCCATGCTCCTGACTTGACCACTGCAACGAGCGCACACACACACACACACAAGCACGCATTATTAACCCGCACGGCTCATTCGTTTTATGCAGACGCCGCACGTGATTTGCAATCGTATTGCGCTGCATTGGACAACGCAATCGCTGTACACAGTGTCTACGTGCGACCACGTTTCAAGAGGCCGGACAGAAACGGCGTGCATTTCGGAGAGATGGGCAGTGGGAAATATTGACGTCTTGAGCCTGGATTTTTGAATCGAGAAAAATTTCCTGCTCAAAGTAACTATGAACACCCCCCCCAACCCCTGTGAGCATTACCAATAACCCCCTGAAGGACACAAAGATCCCCCGCATAGCCTTAACAGACTGTAGGGGGGCAAGTGCTGTTAGCGAGCAGCACCTATGAAGGCCGGAACGGCACACGATGGGGTGGGTGGCCGGCACCACGCCCGACCGCCTTTGTCTCCCCAGTGGCGATGTTTACTACACATCGCACCGGGTACTCACTTGAGGCCGAGTCGACCTAGGGGAGGCCCAGTACCGGTTCGGATCATTAATCGTCACTGGGTGTTGGCCGTGAGCGGGAATCGAAACCCGGGTGGCAGCTGAGCGCTAACCGCTACACCACCGCTCCCCGCCACTGAAGGACACACGACCAGTCCGCAGGGGGGGTCGGCAACCTGCGACTAAGGATCCGCGTGCGGCTCTTTAAAAGACTCGCGGCTTCGTGATCGTTATTGTAATTAAGGACCACACCACCGTCTCGTATTCTCCGCACGGGGCATTGCGGGATCTTTAAATATTGCCGGGGGGGGGGGGTGTTACTGTTGGATGTTGTGCGTTTGACCGAATTAGAACAAAAACATGTCTCATCTTGTTATTTCGCTTTCCGACCGCCCCCCCCCCTCCACTGAGACAATGGCAACTTAAGAAACACCAGGTTGGTTATTAAGCTGCATCAGCCACCCGACTTAAGATTCCCCAGCTAACTCACATCAAGGGCCTAGGTTCTCCGATCCACCGCCCACCCACCCCCCCCAACCCGCGGCTACTCTTCCCACCTTCACTTACCCGCACTGACCAGCGCGGTGAAGTATGTTTGAACGACCCCATGACTGACACGGCGTTGGCCGGGGGGAGGGAGTCGTGTCGTCTTCATCCAGCAGTGGATTGGGAATGGTTCGCTACAGTTGTAGAGCCTGGCAAGTTGGGTAACCTTATCGGCACAGAGCGCAAGTCCCCTTGAACGTAAGGGCAAAGTCAATGTAACCTCAACGCTTGAATCAACCGCACGCAACTGTGACAATTGCAAACAAGTGCTGCTGCCGGCCAACGATGAAGCCGTAGGTTCGATTGTTTTACATTTTAATACGGATTAAACGTGCCCCTAATTAGTACAAATCGCTAAACGTGTCCCGAAGCGCAATTACATTTCCAACCACGCATGAGCAACCTCGGACTCGTGCCTCGCTTGCTATTGGTCCAATCCGCATCACGTGTGCCAAACGCACCAACCTGCTGCGAGCTTCCACCCATCGCGTCTACCAAATCTGAACGGCGGCTCGCGGCCTACCCTGCCGAAGGCCTTTACAGCGTAAGCCGGTGGCAAAGCGCTCCGCAACTTTAAATACTTAAAAAAAAACCTCCACGAACGAGGGGTCGAAGCTCGCTCTCCGCCTGGCGCGCGACGCCCGATCTAAACACCGCCGGAGAGTCTCACCATTGCGGCTGGAAGACGTGCAGCGAGGCGCGGGAGAACATCTTTGCCCCGGCAATGAAGGTCAACTCACCAACCGATTACCAAGAACACCCTCAGCAGCCCCCACCCCCCCGCCAGAGAGAAAGCCCTCGTCTGATTGGCGGAGAGCGCCTGATAATTTATGCGACAGATTGCACGCGTTCCTCTGCCAGGGGGCAATGGGCTTATTTAATTGGTTAAGAGCGGAATAATTTATGAGCCAAGGGCAATGGGCTTATTTCATTGGTTAAGAGCGGGAGAATTTGTGCGATAGATTGCGCGTGTTCCTTCGCCAGAGGGACATGGGCATATTTAATTGGTTGAGAGGGGCATAATGTAGGAGCCAAGGGCAATGGACTTATTTTATTGGTTGAGAAAGGGATAATTTATGCACCGAGGGCAATGGTCTTATTTTATTTGCGCTTTAACAAGATATAATGCATATGCGATATATACCGTCAAATTCTTACACTACACGCTACAATTGGTTTAAAATAGAGATTCCGTTTACGTGGACCATTTAAAAATATATAGGCGGAAACCACTTCGAAGTCACGGATTGTATACCGATGACGTCACCAAGCCCCAGCCATCACCTCCCGTCCAGCGGCACACGCCGGAAGAAACACACTAAATGTAAACAGTTCTACTCATCCAAATAGTGGAGTAACTGACGTTCCTTGAAATATTGAAGCATATTTAGTGAAATGCTTTTTGTAATATATCAGAAAATCAAATGTGTTTTTAGTGGATGTGTTGATTTTAGTATTTGAATGAACCCATGACGTTGAGTAGACCCGCGTGACTTAAGATGGAACGGGCCGGCCTCAACAAACCAGCTTTGCGCAGTGGCAGTATCGTAGCCAATGAGGTTTATCCGAGGCGCGATTATTGCTAATTGAAAACTTTTCCCAATACCCCGCCACGCTGACTTGAAACACAGTCGGAGTCGGCAATTTTTGCAAGCTCTTTCAGGAGCTTTAGTTTCTCTACTAAAAAAAAGAACGTGCGTGAGAAATTAAGGTGGTAGATGCCTGTCATGATTGTAACATGTTGGACCTGGAACAGCGGTTACCGGCCCTACCTCTCACAGTGCAAAGAACAACCTTAAACATCACATTGCACACAAAATAAACTAGTCGGCCGATGGATGCTGCTCCCTGTTCCATCTATTTTATTCAATGCTTTAATACCGTTAAATCAACAACGAAGTTCCGCCTTTGTAAGCTATGCCCCATTTCCCCTTATACACTGCCCAAGTCGTAATAATTAATGATCAGGCCCTGTTGTTCACTGCATCTATCAGCCCGGCGCCTTTCCCTTTGAGGCCGCGCCCATTCTTATTTAGAACCCGCCTCTTTCTGTCCCCAGGACGCGGGGTGGGGGTTGTGGAAGGGGTGGGAGTTCACATGACCAGCAGTGGGACCAGAATCCCTTGTAGCGCAGACAGATCATAAACGGAGTGACTATCCCGTTGTCAACCAATAAGGTGATGGAGTTTTAAATTATAAAAAAAATGTTACAAAGTTTTTAACCAATTGACAAAGAGCATCACCGATCTCCGGCATTTCTTATTCATAAATCGGTGGTCCCTAATACTTTAAGGTTGTAAGCGGAATAAGAAATGCAAGAAGTTAGTGATCCGCTTTTTCTATAGCTTAAAATCTTGTGGTCATTTTTTAAATGCTTAAAAATACCGTCACCTTATTGGTTGACAACGGGACAATCAATCTGTTATTATCTGGCTGCTCTAAGAGGCATTCTGGTCCTACTGCGACACGCGCGCACTGCCACCCTCCTCACAACCCCCACCCCGTGTGCGAGAGGAAGGGGCGGGGCTAGACACAAATGGGCGGGGCCCAAATAAGAATGGGCGGGGCCCAAATAAGAATGGGCGGGGCCCAAATGAGAATGGGCGGGGCCTAAAAAGGAAACGTGCGGGGATGAACAACTGGGCCTTAATCATTATTTATTACGAAGGGGCAGGGTATAAGGAGAAAGGGGCTTAGCTTACAAAAATTGAACTTGGCGGTTGATTTCATGGAAACAGAACAGCATACCGATATTGCCCGGGGATGCAACCATGAGGTGACTCGTTAATTTTTATTGGGGTGCAAAGCAGTTTAAGAGATTGGATCTGCGACCTCTGCCTTGCCAGTGCAAAATTATTACAAATTATTACAGGTAGGTATTGGCTCTGCTACCTTGAATCCTCAAGAAAGGTCTACACTTCATTAAACAACCAAAAACTCCCGAAAGAGCTTGCAAAAATTGCCGCCGCCGACTTTGTTTCAAATCAGCGTGGCGGGGTATTTGGAAAAGTTTTCAATTAGCAATAATCACGCCTCGGATAAACCTCATTGGCTACGATACTGCCACTGCGCAAAGCTGGTTTGTTGATGTCGGCCCGTTCCCTCTTAAGTCAAGCGGGCCTGTCTCAGCGCCATGGGTTCATTCAAATACTAAAATCAACACATCCACTAAAAAACACATTTAATTTGCTATGATAATACAATAAGGATTTTACTAAACATTTAAATTATTCAATGAAACCGATAGTCATTAACTCGATGAATTGGATGAGGAGATATGTTAACATTGTCCGTGCCTCTTCCCGCGTGTGCCGCTGGACGGGAGGTGATAGCTGGCACTTGGGGACGTCATCGGTATACAACACGTGACTTCGAAGTAGTGCCATGTTAAAGTGAAAATAAAGTTAAGAGTGCGATAATTTATGCGAGGCTTTGTGATACCGTGGATTTTTTTGGTTGAAAAGCAAAATAATATGTACGTTTTAATCATTCAGAAATCGGCTGTTCCCTTATAGTTTTGGTTGTAAGTGGAATAACAAATGCAAGAGGTCAGTGATAATCTGTTTCTTTTGCTTAAAATGTAATGGTAATTTTCCAATAATAAAAAAATACCGTCACCTTATTGGTTGACAATGGGATAATCAATCTGTTATTATCTGGCTGCTCTAAGAGGCATTCTGGTCCGACTGTGAAACGCGCGCACTGCCACCCTCCTCACAACCCCCACCCAGCCCGCTGATCCCGACAGAATGTTTCTATTTGCTATATTGGGTTGGCGCTGGACAGGGCCCACGTTGTGGGGAGTGATCTCGCCGATCACGTGGATAAGTGTGCTGATGAGACCCGGAAAGTCAAAGCCTGCACCAAAATGTTCCGTTTTAATAAATAGTGCGGATGGCAAATATTTAAATGGACTAAACCTTTATCGTTGAAAAATATTATTGTTTTATGCAATAACGAACCCGGAAACCTGAGTTGGATTCCGGGCCACGCACGGCTATCAGCAGTGCCAAATTACATCAGCAACGGTGGTGTGGGCCCACCTTTCACCAAACTCACACACTGACCAGCGCGGATGATCAACAACTCCCATGACCAACGCAGCGTTCGGAGAGGCCTTCATCCAGCAGTGGATGAACAAACGGCTGAGAATTGTAAACGTATCTGGGTTTGGGTTTAGTGCTGTGCTAACAGATTGGTTACGTAACCGCACTAATTGGGGGGAGTCCAGATTATGAATGAATAATTACGACAATGCTTGCCGTCGTGTAAAGGGTTAGCATACTGCACTTGCAATACAGAAGCCTCGAATTCGGTTTTGTCTCCAGGCGCGGCAGATGGAACAATGGTGGCAATGTTACTTAAATTCCTCCTCGACCTCACTCCACCCAGCAGTAGCACCTCGCCTCGTCTGGCCTCTCTGCGTGCGGAGAAGAAGGGGCCATTGGCCGAAACGTCGAACGTGTTAAGTATCGGGACACGTGCGGTGGGTTAAAGCGTGGGTACTGCCACCTCTTTCACGACGTCTGAGCCCAAGCATGGAAGGCTGCGAGACAAATGCCCTGGAGTGGAGACCCCCTTCCGCCAGCAGTGGCGTGAGTGAGCAATTGCAGTGCCGCGCCTTTACATAGGGAGCATGGAATAACTTCGCGTTCATGTAGAGGTGGGAGGGAGGGCCTTGTATGGCCTTGCATGGCCTGCGACGCCCTCTTGTGGATTTAGTTGGTCAAAGAAGAGACATCGTTCGTACGCGACATGTGTCACGTCGTGCCGTGCTACTCGACTTGTCAATGTCGTGAGGGTTTCACTCTCCATCGCACCGCGTGTGCTGAAGGCGCAGCTAAATTGGCACGTTGTGGTTACGTGACGAACCTTACGAAATGCCCGTGTCGTCTGGTGGCGGGTGTAACGACGCACTAAAATTTGCGCGATCTAACCCAACAACAAGGGAAAATAAATCTCAATTATGGAAAACATCAGTGTGGCTTTACGTCTGGCCCTGGAAGAGTGTTTCTGCTTAAAAAAAATTAAATTAAACATTTTTAAACTTTTTTTAATCCAATTTAAACTCAAGTGTTTATTATATGTTAATGTTGACTAAAGCTTTCGTGACTGCAGGAATTCATATTCTTTGGGTCTTTCGGTAAAGTCACGTAGATAGGTTCAAAGAAAATAACATCGTAGTTTTAATGTGATTTTGTTATTGTCTTTGAACCTATCTGCGTGACTTTACCGAAAGATCCAAAGAATATAAATGTGAATGCTCCGTGAGTTGGGAAACAGTTCTAAGTATATTTGACGGGCGATGCCTCATGCGCAGTATCTGATGAAATTAGTCGATCCTGTACCGCTGACTAGAGAGGCTTAGACTCTGTAGCATTACCACGACGAATTCGCCGTATGAATGACGTTACCAAACCTCCCGACCAGCGGTACGCGTGGGAACAGGTCGGCAAAAGTCTGCGTACTCTGCAGTTAAGTTCCTCATACAATGAGTCGAGTAATCGACTATCAAAATATTAACTAACATCGTTATTTATATATTTACTCGCTTTGACCCCAAAAATCTGATTTATAGACACAATGTTTCTCCTATTTTTTTCGATTCGTTTATTGCCGCCTTTGGACTGATCCCATGGCGTTGAGGTGGAGTCGCGTCACTTAAGAGCGAACGGGCCGACTTCAACAAACCAGCTTTGCGCAGTGGCAGTATCGTAGCCAATGAGGTTTATCCGAGGCGCGATTATTGCTAATTGAAAACTTTTCCCAATACCCCGCCACGCTGACTTGAAACACAGTCGGCGTCGGCAATTTTTGCAAGCTCTT